TCGTCATCGCAAAAAGGTTAAAGGTTAAAACTTTTATATAAAACAGTATGTTGAAAACAATGAAGTAGAAAACTGGCATTGACTTCTGCGATATACATATACATGTATAATCTTAATAAAATTGCAGTCTCTTATATTAAATATTTTATATCAAATGTCGACAAATTCTGTCGCTAACATCGCTCGCATGTGAATGTAACGTATTGTATGCGCTGTATGTACTGCGGTAACTAAGAAATGAACTTTTAAACCGCAGAACGTTGAACTTTCGATCGTGTCTGCATATGTATGAAAAAAAAAAGATATATTCAGCATACGCCTGATCAATCAGGTAGATACACAAGTCAAGAAAATTAGTCGTCAGGTTCAGCGGTAATTTAATTTTTCACATGCCATATCTCTGTGGAACAGTCGACCTTAAATTTATCTGTTTGATGTAGAAGAATGATGTAGAAAAAGCTTTTAGTTGCTATCAATGACATTTTTGAAATTGAATTATCGAAATTTATAGTTGCAAAAACAAGTCTGAGATATTTTTTACTTTTTTATTTAATCAATTTGATGTGAAAAAGTCAGTTTATTATGCCTTTTCTATCAAATTTTAGCTATAATAGACAATGTTGTGCATTTACAAATTTAAAAACCTGCAAAATTGATTAAAATGGGTTATAATCGAGCGTGGATAATTGAATTGACAAAGTGCAATTCTATATTTTACATCAAACCTACTAGATTATTTAAATCACTTTTGCATAACATCATTCAATCAATATGCCATTTCCAAATATGTAACGCAATCACTCTTTCTTTCTCTCTATTTCAAAATGTCGGTGAACAAATTTCCGAGATTGATCGGCGCAAAACGCTCAACTTCAAACCGACACATTTCGACTTCTCCGTAGAGAATATTTCCGCCCTTCCGATTTAACGGAATCTGTCATCAGTGACAGCTAGTACCTCCCTTTGTGAGCGCGCGCGACAATCAAAAAATTGGCAATCGCGGTTTGGGAAACTACCTCACCGCTTGTCGATCCGCGACAGTCGGCGCGGCGCAACGGCGCGGCGGTCCACAATAAAAAACGACAGATGAAAATGATTATTTCGCGGTGGTGGATTCATGGCTCGTCCGTTCGGCCAGCAGTGCCGCGACTGCCGCGCGCTATCGCGGCCATAAATACATCCACGAGGCGGAGGATAGTAGTCGTCTGGTGGGTGGTCACTCGACTTTGTAATTTTATCGCTCCGTAAAATGACACGAGATGGAGAGAAGCAGGTACCGCGGGAGAGGAAGCGGGAGGGTGAGAGATAACACACGGCGCAGAAGGTATAAAACTAAAACGCTATTACGACATAACTTCCGTAATATCGAGCATAAACACCGGGAGCCGGCGCGGGCGCATGATGCGACCCCGGCTATGCAAGAGCTCTCGGTTCAGCTAGAGCCCCGAGATGAGATGAGATGAGATGAGAGAAGAGAAGAGGAGAGGAGTGCTGCGCATCCTTAATTCCCGCGACTACGCAAACATTAGCTGCTCGTAAGTTTGTTGTGCGCGGGGCGTCGAGTTGCGCGTCCGCGCGAACGTATATGAGTTATGCCTTGGGATAACGCTCGACATAAGCGCTACATGTATGTACGTACGTAGGGGGAAACTCGACGTCCAATTGCGTGTACCGTGCCGGCGCGATGTAATATTCAGCTGCAACTGCTGTAACAGTTCACTCGCGAGAGAACCGAGAGCCGCCGAGCGCCGAGCTCTCGAGAGCTCGGGGGTGTATGTGTCGCGCCCCTTCTTTTTCACGGTCGCGTGGAGAAGACGGAAAGATCGACGACGAACACGTGTGTGTACGCCGGAAGCAGAAGAGTGACGAACAGCTTGCTAAGCCTGTCTCTTACATTTTTCACGTTCCAATTTGTGCGCCGGTGTGCATCATATGTGTCCGTTGGTGTCCTTCCAAAGAATTTTACCATTCAAAAGAGAAATGTTTCTACTCGATCTTCTCTCTCTCTCTCTCTCTCTCTTTTGCTTTCTGCAAAAAGAATCATTTTATTCTATTCTGTACGAAATAATTAAGAGATCGCTACGTCAGACGACTTTATATATTAACTCATATCAACCATTAAAGTAACTGAAATGTTGTATTCATATAAATGTTATTGAGAATTAAGCTTGGATACTAGAAGAAAGATATTTTATCAACTTTTTAATTTCTTTTAAAACTATCTACGTTATTTCGGTATTATGTTCGTCCCTCCTACAGTTATTTTTCTCTTTCTCTATTTTCTCTCCCTCTGTCTTTGCGCCGCATTACCGTAATTGCGCACAGTCATCCGTAGTTTCCAACGGGATTATTACGCTGCCCGAGTTTTCTTTCTTTTCCGGAAGTCTCCTACGATCGTTACGCGCGCGTAGCTATGCGTGACGGTTGCTGGACGGTAGACCGCAATAATAGCGGTCACACACGATCATAGATGCCGTTTCTTGATCGAGCGATAGAGCCGGGAATTTAATCGCAATGATAATCTTCTCTTACCATCGAGAAGACCCAACACGTTTAATCGATTCTCGATTTAACAAAGTCAGCTATTATAAATTGATCTATCAGAGAGTGCATTTGTCAGTGTACTGTCATTGATTGCATCAATATAATGTGCAAAATATATTTCTTAATAACACTTACAGTATTACTGGTATGCTATTAATCATTAATGCGATTGATTATATTGTAATCATTTATATTATGATTACAAATCTCTCTTTCTCTTTTCCCTCTCCTCCCTCCTCCAAACAAACACAAAAATATTAATCCCCTAAAGAGATAGATGATAAAAGAATATGAGATATCTCTGAAAGAAATCATCGTGTGGAGTCAGCTCTCTATTACATATTTTAAGAAATATGCGTATGTTTAAATTAATATGTATTTTATTTGTAATATTTATTTAGCTAAGCACATTTGAAAATCTGATATACAATACAAAAATTGTCATACCCTTAAAAGAAGAAAATATTTAGTTTAATAAAAGTTATTTGACAAAACCAGAGAAATCTGTTGCATTTTATTTTTAAATTACATAGAATACAAATATTTTTTAGGAAAATATTATTACTCTGTAGTATAATGTTATACAAATTGAATGTATAGTATTTATCTGAACTTTAAAAATGGAAACTTACAGTCAATCCACTAATAAAATAATATTGTTGTAATAAAATAAAATTATTCCTTCACTTTTTCTCACTGTGATGATTGAGCAGAAAGAGATATAAATATTTTCCGCTGTTACATTTTATAAAGCTCGTATTCATTTCGCGAATATTATTTATTTATAGAATTTTGCGAAAGAGAGAGAGACAGGTATATTCAGAGTTTTTTTATAACAATCGTGAATATTTCATAAATTCGTAGTGCAGTGGCGAGTTTTTCCTTTTTTTTCACACTCGTACACATGTATATACCTAGTTGGGGGAAGAATTTTAAGCGGCTTTTTGCACAAAACTGCGGATTTTCATACTATCTTTGAATCTTGGAACGAACCATTGTCAGTCTTGAAATGCAGAGAGCACTGACCACGATGGGTGTCAAGGATTTCCTCAGAAAAGCGATTATTCCAGCTAAGCCTAACCGACCTGGATAAAGAGCCGACACAGATTTTTTCTTGGATGCCGACAACGTGTGTTGAGTCGCATACAATACCTGTCGTAGATCGTTTGTTTCGCGCGACGCGGCGGCGGGACAAGAAAAATATTCGTTAACAAACGGCCGACCTTCGAGCACGAACGATCGCGCGGGATTTGCATGATCATAAGTCTCTCTCGACCAGATCCCTGAAAATTGGGCCGAAATTTATACGCGTCTTGCTCGAATGCTTTTGTCTTTTAGCGTGACGGATAAAAAAGAGTAACAGTGCCCGCCTTAGCGTGCTCTAATCCACACGCGAGGAGGTGGGATAGAGGGGAAACGGCGGGCGTAACTAAGTGGCTCGGAGCATGTTTAGCATTTAACTCTTCATGCAGGATCTCCTTATATACCTTGCATAACATTTTCTTCTTATTTCGCGCTCTAAATTTACCCTTTGAAATACTGCCGTGCGGTCAGGATTCACCCTCTATATCATTTCAAACGCGTCATAACACATCATTAACATTAAACGCTTAGAAACATCATATAACGAAGATTTTGCAACAACTTGGTCGCGAAAGATTAAATTGCGTCTTCTATCGCTTTTTCCCTTCCCTCTTCTTCTCCTCGCACACAACACACGTACGTGAAGCTTTTTCTTGCAAAGTATCGCGCGGTATAATTTTAATTTAAATGAAAAATTATGGACCTGGTAAATTAATGAATGTTAAACACGTCGATGTTGGGTAAACTCGGCCAATTTTGCTTCCTCCCCTAATTGCACCGCTGGGAGGACGTGGAAAGTTTAAATCGTCCGGAGAACAGCGGCACGCAACGCATATAACGTAAGAATTGGCGCTGCGCGATTACACGGACCCACCTACTGACAGATTGCCTGCGTAGTCCAGCGCGGGCACCTGCTGTTCCATTTTTCCCGCCGATTCGCGCCGGGAACTATCATTTTCTTAACCATACCGAACGATACGCCGGGGATGGAACGTATAGAGATGATCCTCCGCCGAGCATCGATATTTCGGAAACGACGCGACGCGGCGGGCCGACGCTCGATGGTCAATTCATGAGACACGGTGGTGCTTTGCCCTGTGATATTATCGGATAAGAGTGGGGTATGATGCAGAAGAATAGATAGGCAAATAGCAGATGGGGAAAAGTATCGGTGGTTTACCATCCATTAGGGTAACGTTCCAGTTCCGAGTAACGTACTATTTCTTCCAAACTGAGCATCTATTTCGAATAAAGAGAAGAGCTTAATGTCTTTTCTTTTTTATTAAGACTGAATTTGTTAAGACTTAATATTATGCAAATTAATATTATACGATGTCTCTATTTTTGTAACGTATGTAATGTTTTTGTTTCAGATGTTGGCTTTTTCGCTTTGGTCACTTGGATATTCTCACTCTACTCCGCTTTCCATCACTTCGGTTCGTATTTAACTCTTTAATCTTTTAAGTATTAGTATTATGTTTATACTATTTTATCGATTTTATTGATATATAAAATGCTATAAGTTGATCCTTTATTCTCGGTTATTGTCTACTCACGAATCTTATGAAAGTCAGACGCGAATTAAACGTTACAAATAGATCTCAAGATATTTTAGCGTCAAGTATTAATATCGATATTCCGACTTCGATGATGGGCGATAACCGATAGTAGTTCCCGGTGTTAAGCATCGATAGCCAACTCCATGACACGTTCTTCCTTTCCATTCTCTATCGAGTATTTCCCGCGGGATAGCCGCAAGCTTCTCTCTCGTTGCAGCCCGATTCCCTCCTAAATAATAATGTCTAGACGTCTTTACGTCGTCTTCGCGCGACGAATAGCTCTCGTGGTGAGAATAAAATTGGTCGTTTACGATAAACCCTGATCTCCCCCTGGGTTGCCCAGCGCGCCTTCTTCCTTCCGTGTATCGCCGTTCTCAGAAACAAGCGATTCGTTATTTCTCTGTATGAAATGTGAGGAGAATTTACGGTTTTGTGCGACGACAGAAGCCGATAAAAGTGGCCGGGGGAGTGAAAAGAGGGAGAGGGTGGACTTAAGTAGGTTGCCTTTTTCGACGAACTATTTAACGCACGACCGAATAGGCATAAAACGCGAACGAGGCGGTCAGTACTTGACTGCATGTATAAGGTGTTATTACTTTTTATCATTTATTAACAAATGGTATTTTAGTACTATTGATAAAAAATCTGAAATTGAGTTTTTTAAATATATTTTCTATATTAGATATTAAAAGATTATAAAATAATGAACTAGTTCTAAATAGAAACAAATTATATTTCTTATTTAATCTTAAGTGAACTTTAGTAAATATTTGATTTAAAAATTAGTAAAAAGATATTTTCAATGTCGTATGGATTGAAAATAAGAAAGAAACATCAGATTATATTCTCATAAATATTTGATATGAAGATTTGGATAACAAAACTATTTTTAGATTAAGTTCAAGCAAACTTTATCGTAATAACAATTTTATTTGACGCTTGCTGATCAAGAAATGGAAATTTAGAAATTGGAAAAATAATATCGATAAATGATATCCGATAAATGAAGATATCTCTCGATATTTTCTCCGTAGAAAACGTAATCAAGAAAGTATCGTAGAATAGAAGGTAGAAACACGGAATACCGATTCTATCTTCGCTTCATAAAATTAGATATTTTATTTTACGTCTGCTATATGTTCATAATTCGAATCTTATGTGCGTTTAAATGATACAAACACAGGTGTTATTAACCATCAGCCAAACTTTTAAATTTCTCTGAAAAGAGCCACGATCGTTTCTCGCTGTCTCTACAATATCTGTCCCATCTGATATTCCCCTATCTTCTCTCCTCTAGAATACTCTTTGATAGGTCTGGGACACCCTATATATGCCACATATCCGGAGCGACGGCCGCGTACACGTATACAAACGTCTGTGCGTAGAGCTTGCCTTCCGCTTTCTGATTGGCCATCGTGGCTACCATCGATTTTTCTCATGTGTATGTATCAAGATATGTAAATATGGTTTATGCTATATATGATGCCACGGCATTGTATCGTCGTCTTGGTGCGAGAGAAGATCGTGAATTAGAGGCGCGGGGGATAACGTGTTCATCGTTCCGACGAAACCTATTTGTCCAACGCGGCTCGTTTATATTTAAATGAACGGTTGATTTTATATTGTACCACCTTGCGCACCTCTTTCTGGGCTTCTCCCGGATGCATCCTGTGGTGCGCTCCCGATATATATCGGACACAAAGAGCGACTACTGGTCCTCGGAATTTTAACGCGGCGAAAGAGAACATTTTCAGTCGCGCGCGATGGACACAGGAGTATTGTAACGCGCTCGAGAGAGAAACAGAGAGCTATGCTTTTTTTTTGTTAGCTTTTCGATTCGCGATAAAACCCGGAGCTCGGAAAGTCGAGCTAAACATTTAAATATTGAACGGTCATTCTACGTGCCCGTTGGGGAGTAACTATCGCGAGTTATTTTCGAAATTAACTCACGGTTCGCATACAAATCCACTTTGGAAATCGATTTCTTTTGTTCCATTTTAAGTAAAATGCAGTTTATTATTGCCGTTGCCCTTTGAACAGTTTGTAATTATTTTACTGTTGTTAATTTGTTATTTTAATAGTTATTAAAAAATCAAAAGATAATAGAATCGTGTTTTGACGTCCAATAGACTTTATTTTAATGAAATTTAAACTGTCGGTGGAAACTTTCCTCTGTATTTCCTCTCGCGGCACCACTGTCTGTATAGTCCATTATTTACCCTTTAGTTCGCTCGCAGGGTTGCCACATAAATGAGCAAAGCCAAGCTCGTACTCCAATGTGAGGAGGAAGGTAATTAAAAACGAGTGTAAAAACCGAGGGTGGATGTATGTAGGTGTTAAAAAATGGCCCTTTACGCCATGTTAAAGAATTGCCGCTCCGCGAAGAGTAAAACTTTCGAATTGACGTGTAACGTTTCGAGCGTGTTAACGCGGTATTGTACCCGCGAATACAATTGTCAAAGACAATTGCGTCGTGGATGAGAACGACGAGGATTGATTTATCGACGACATTACAATTCGAGAAATTATTTGACTCAGACGTATGCAGGAGTTGTTGGTACGGTGGCGTCGTGGAAGTTGCGTGTCGCGAGATAGATGGGGAATTTATCAGAAGATTCAATTGTAGGAGGCGGGTGTCGTTGATCGGGCTATCAATTTTAAACGCAATCCGTGTAGCGCAATATACATTCGAGAAATCGAATTCGAAACTGCCGACTTTAACCCAATATTTACACCGCCGCCCATTTATTAACGTCTCTTTAAATTGCGCATCCATTATAAATTCCTCTGTGGCAATATTCCCGGTATTTTTCAAGCTAATATCGCTGTGTTTGAGGAATGTTGTTTTAATCACGCAATATGACATAGCAAAAATCTTTCAGCTTAATCAAGAATTAAAGTTTTTCGATATAAAATTATGACGATATAAATTTCAAATGCGCAAAACAATATGAGTGCGGACAAAATAATTGTAAAAAGTCGAGATGTCTGTATAATTAAAATTATCATTATTGTATAATTATATGTACAGATTATAGAGTAGAAAAGAAAGATAAGATTGAAAAATGAAGATTATTTCTCTGAAAACAAGTGAAATCAAGTTCATTTACATATTACAAAAAAAGTATGAAAATGTGATGAATATCCTTGGCACTCGTATTGAATATCCAGTCTATAATTCATGGGAATCCCCGGCAAACGTCCAATGAGCTCGCCGAAAATCCACTACATTAATCAATCTACGCGGTAAAACAAGTGGCGCATTTCACGTTCGTAAAATAAACGTTTATTTTTGCTTTCTCATAGAGGAAGCTTTGTTTTTTTTTATTTTTTTTTATTTTGAGTTATCCCGCTTTTCATGCGTCATAAGTGCTCGAGCGGTTTCTTCGTAACTGCGAAGGTGGTTAATGCAATGTTTATCATCATCTAGGAAATTAATTAACCTTTGAAGTCGAAGATAGCACACTCTACATTATCGAATCAATCATAGTCCATTACCTCGATAGCGTAACAGTTACATGATGGGTCGTCCGTTGTTGTTAGATTCATTAAGGCTAGGTCTCCACCGTTTTCTTTGCGAAACGTTGTTTGTTTGACAATCAAGCTGTCCACTTTAAACTATCTTGCGTATACAAGTATATTTCAGAATGTTATCACAATAAGGGTTTTGTATCCTTTAACGATCTCGTAATTAACGTTTTTCTTTTGCAAAAATTTAAAGTTCTAACTGCGATAACGGTTAACATAAAATTTTATAACATATTGATAACTCAAACTGCACGCTTAAAAATAAATAATAAATATTTAATCTTTGTTATTTTTTAATTGGTTTTATTTAGACGGAATCTTTTATTTTAACAGAGTTAAGATTTAAATCATTTTCAAAATTAATTACAAAATTATTTAACTTCTTTGAGAAAAAAACTAGTGTATATTAAAATTTTATATGAAAAATACATGCAATAAATACATGCAAAATAATACATAACAAATTTAAAATTATTGAAATAATTGCTAACAATGCATCGTAATATATATTTATGTATGATATATATCCCATTAACAGTAGCATTATAAGAAAAAATATGATAATATATACAATTGTAGTTGTTCGTTGAATTGTGTGGGAGACATGCATTTCTACGCTTGATGAGTTGAATAGTAGATTCTTTTTTCAAAGTTAGCGTTGGTGGCTATTCGATGCTTCATTCCCATTTTTTGGGAAAAATGATATCTTGCTAACGATTACTCATCTCCTTCCCTTTCTCTTCCTTTTGTATCTAGAATGCATTCTCGAATCGCGACAAAACATGCATCCCGCTGCGAATGTATATGTTTCGCCCAACAACAGCTTCTTCGATTATGTAAACGGTGCGATAAATTACGCGGGGTGTCTGTCGTCTCAACATGACGCGACGAGAAACGAGATAGATACGCGATTAGCTTCCTCGACTCTTCGCGAGTCTCTTTGCGAATCCCGGGAGGATTTTACGCCTGCGCTCGCCTACATGCAGTTGAATACCGTGAATTAAAGTAAATCTCAAAGTCAATTCTCTTAAAATACATGATTTAAAAATAATCTTTTAACATGAATTTTTTAATCTCAAGAACTTTTAGCATTAATTTAAAAATAACTTTTCCTGATTTAATTAAAATTGTATTATTACAAAGAGAGAATTTTATAGAGGTGAAAGAACAAGATCTTATGAGTATTAATTATTATAATTAATACTTAGAAAGAGAGTATTCTTAAAACTTCGAAAAATTAATTTTAGTGCTTTAATTTTGTAGAAACGGGGGGTTAGATCATTGTTCCACTGAACTCAGTCAGTTATTAATGTTGCAATTAGTTTCGAAAGATCTTCTATTTTAAGTGG